AGGGGCAGAGACAGGCACTGCCCAGCTGGGGCGGGATGGGCATAGGACGGAGCTGCAAGTGGTTCATCTGGGAGGCAGAGAGGGGGGTGGCTCTCACCACTGTGCATACCCCCAGAGGCGTGGGGGGTATGTGCCCCCCCAATTTTTTGTTTGCAGGGTAAGGGTGGGCTCCCCATTGCAGGCTTTGGCTCGGGGACTGCTTTGGTCTCCTCTTGGCAGGGGGTTGGGCTGGAGCTGCACTCAGGGTAGGAGGTGGTGGTACTGGAAAGGGGACTATGGGAGGAGCTATGGCTAATTTATGGGTGGCTGTAGCCCACTGTGTAACCCCCCTCCCAGTGCCACCGCCACTCGCTTCACCTCATCCCCACCTGCACCAGGCTCAGCTCTGGCCCAGTCCTGTGAGGAAGAGGCTGGCGTGGCCCCTGGTCCTGAGCCTGCAGCAGGCAGCCCACCTGTATGCAAATCTGGGGGTCACATGTCCCCCCATGCTTCCCCTGGGGGTGTGCACAGCAGTGGGGAGCTGCTTCCTTCCCCACTCTCCCTTACCCACTGGGATGAGCTGCCTGCATCTTTGCCCCGGGGCCTACCACAACAGGGCAGCCCCTGCCCCAGCCTCCTCCTTCCCTCCCTCCACTGTGAGGGCTTCAATCGGCCCCCGCCCTGTCCTTCCTTTCCTCACCGGCCCCCCCCCCCCCCCCCCCTCCCCCCCCTCCCCGGGGGGGGCTTTAACCCCCCCCCGCCATGTCCTTCCTTTCCCCCCAGGCCCCCCCCCCCCACACTCTTACTGGCCAACTGCTGCTCTCCAAGGTGCTGGCCTGCATATCGGCTGTTGGATTGGTATCAGCCAATATGCCTGGTTAATAATTGGCCATCGGTATTGGCCAAAAAAATCTTTATCGTTTCACTCCTAGTCCTTGAAGATGGTATGTTGCTGAAGTCATAGGTATAGATGTCCTATATGTAGCATGTTTTACATATTTTCTCAATGTTAATTGACTACAATAATATAAGGTGAATGAAGCTAATTTCTCTGCCTGAAAAATCAGGATATGGAAGAAGAGTTGACTTCTTTTTTATTATTCAGCAATACATAGTAAGGTTAAGCCCTCATCTTGAATAAGGCTATTGGGTGCCAACATAATAATGAGCGTAAATGGTACTTACTATTTAACTGTAGACTGTTTGATGCTGTACAAAACAGAGAAGAAAGATTTATTTGGCATATTTTACTGGACCAGTTGAATAGTTGGGAGAGATGTTAGACAAGCTTTCTAGCACAAAGTGCCTTAGGTCTGGGAATGAAGCGGGAGCAACCTAAGCTAAATACCAGATAAAACAATGGCTATTTCATTCTCTGTGTTTTTGAAAACAGCCACTTAAAGAGGGTGTAAACAATGGAGCTGAGAGAAATGATCAAGCTTCAAATGAAGGGATATGCAGTTTTTGGCTCATAACAGACTTTAAAATGAAGGCACAGTTGGATCTGATGTGGCATCCCAACAATTGTGCTTTCTGCCATGCCACGTGCATGGCAGAGGGCACGATTGTTCAATCCTGCATCGGATTCCATTGCACCATATTGCTGGAGCAACACCTGAACTGGCAAGTAGAAGGCTTGCCTCTCCCTGTAGCTGGAAACCCTGATAAGCTGTCCGGGCTGTTTTGGCAGGTTGGATGCAACTTGGCTTTTGTTGATCACCTGGGAGTTTGCCTCTGTTGAGCTTGATGAAGTTTGGTTGTTTGAAAGCTAGGTGTGTCAAGGCTGGGGATATTTCCATAAAGATCTGGTCCTTTTCAAGTATAAAAATACAGTGTTTTAGCTGAGGAAAGGAACAGAACCATTCAGATACAGAATGCAGTTAAATTTATCAAAGGGCTTCCCTAAGAGCAGCGTTTCCCAACCAGTGTGCCACGGCATACTGGTGTGCTGTCAGGCGCATCCAGGTGTGCTGCAGCATTTTGGGCTGGAGCCATGCCCCCTGCCTGCTGCTGCTGCGGACACAGACAGACGGGGAGCGTGGCTCTATTCCAATATGCCATCCGCCTGGCCCTGTGTCACTCCCCCCCCCCCCCTTCTGGTGTGCCATGGTGCTTTTTTATTTAAGTAAGTGTGCCATGGGGTAAAAAAGGTTGGAAAACACTGCCTTAGAGAATGATGTATGTGACTTTAAGCTTAACTGTTGCTGACTTTATAAAAGGTGTGAAGGGTGAAATAAACTCATCTGTTACAGCCCTTTTAAACATTTTAAAACTACTAGAGTGATAAAGAATCCTTAAGAGGCCTGGTTGCATCTGGAGAAGAGGATTGTCTTGATTGAGGAACTCAAAGACAGTAGAAAGTCTGCTTTCCAGTGAATCCTTGTAAGCCTAGTTGTAAAGGTTATGTTGGAGGTGCAGGTGGGAGAGGAGTGTAATGGGTTAGAGCTACAGCACTATAGGGTTTTGGGGCAATGCTGTGGTCCTTAGGACAGTGGTAGGAAGCTAATGGAACATAGGCCCAAAGTAATGTGAGAATTACGCTTTTTAAATACAGCATTTTGGAAAAACAAAATAAAACACACAAGGTGTCTGGATTGAGAGAGACCTTACGTAACAATTCTAGAGGAAAAGTACAGAAGTTTTCCAGACTATAGCTCATATAATACATCTGTTGTTATTCAAATCCCTTTGGAATGCACGTGCTGAAAAGTCAGTTTTAAGTTACAGTATCATACTTTGGAAGTGTGAGTATGTGTACCTAAAAAGAGAACAGCATGCAATACCAATGGTTACAAGTACTATATCAAATTTAGGAATAGAGATGCAGTACTGTATTAAAAAATGAAAAAGAGAACCCAATACCAAGAGTGACAAGTGTTTCTATTTGGGTAACTGAGGGTGTTTATAGATGTGCTGTGGGGGAGGGGGTGCTTTAGTTAGTGCAGCTCCAAGAGCCACACTAATTAAAAGCACCTGGAGCGTCATGTGTATCAGTGTCTCCATGCTGAAAAATGGCGGCGAGGCACTTTGAACTAAAGCTCCCCCCACCATTTGTCAGTGCAAGGGTGCTGATACATGTGACACTGGAGTCTGCTGGAGTGCAATAATCACCATGCTAAAGCAGGCTCAATTAATCAAGTCCGCTGTGATGCAGTGGTATTGCAGCCCATCAGAGCAGCCTCCCGACGTGTATGGGAGGTTTGAATAGGAGGTTTTAGCTGTATAGGAGGTTTGCCTGGGAGTTTGGATAACAAAGAAGTACTGTAATTTCAGAATGTTTTAACTGGTAAAGTTTGTGATTTGGTTTTTAGATTATAAAAATAACTTCCATAGGAACTTGGGCTGACTCCTGTGAAACCCTATGTTCTGAACACTTGAACCTTAAAACCGCTATATACTTTGTCTACAGAGATCCTTGTGTTCCAGGAAGATGTAAAAAGTGACTCAGTCAGATGGGAGTATTATTCCCATCGTCTTGAACTTTATATTAAAGGAAAATCTTCCTTTTTAAATTAAAAATAAATACATAAATGCCTGGACAGGATAGATTATTTCAATCCAAGGACACTGTCCACCAGGGAGTCATTATTTTATCCCATGGTTTTCCATTGTAACTTTTTACAAATGATGTGTGTGTGTTTCTAAAGTGCAGATAAGGTATGTTTTTCAAGTATTGAGATCATGTTAAAGTTGATTCCGCAGCAGCTTTCTGCATGATCCATTTTTATAAACAAAACTGTGTCCATAATGACTCTATTTAGACTATGGATGGATATCAGATTTATAAAAAAAATGATCATTTTTTTTTTTTAAATTTGTATGTATAATTTGGTGTTTCCATTGACATTAATCTTCCTACTATTTTTATCAATATTTATGTCATTATTTCATTATTGTAATTTTAGCAAGTTTTAAGGGTATTTTTAATGCAAGATTTATACATTTTTTTGTAAAATTTTGTTCTTAGAATTGAGGAAAATTTATAAATATAAATTAAACACATCATTTAGATCTTCAGCTCTAAGCAGTAGATGATGAGAAGGAACTTTCTGACCATGAAGGTGTTCAGACATTGGAACAGGCTATGTAGACAAGTTGTGGACTCTCCATTCCTAGAAATTTTCAAGAGCAGGTTAGACAGATACTTGTCTGGGATGGTTTACTCGGGGACAGTCCTGTCTTGACTAGGAGGCTGGAATAGATGACCTTCTGAAGTCACTTCCAGTCATACTTTCATATGATTAGTCCTGTGAAGCTGTCCTAATAAGGGAGTTCTACAAGATTTCAGAGTAGGAGAGAGTGTGTACTGGGGCAAGCACCTTTCCAAATGATTAAAGCTGTGTGACCTTTGCAGTATTTCTAAACAAAACACATATAGTGCTTCATGTATAACTATGAATTTGTGTGTGTACTTATATTTATATATGCAAGCTGTTTAGGCTTTCTACAGAGCACTAAGTCCACAGATAATGCTAGAGGATGAATTGTAATTTTGGCGAACAGTTATGTCTATAATCTACCTTCTTTTTATGTTCATTAATGCCTAAGAATAAACCATTCCTGATCTATATTGAATCAGTTCTGTCTCTTCCATTTGATGTGTTGAAAAGAGGTAGGGGTTGTGAAATGAAGTGAATCCTAGTGTACAGCTTGAGTTCATCCAGGGTCAGTGATTAAAAGGATTAAAGGTCTTCTTTAATTTAGAGATTTTTTTTTTTTCTGAGTACTGATCTTTTTAAATGCAATAACGGTGTTCATTCTGCCTTCTTACCAGAACCTTACAAATCTAAAGTAAGAAGAATTTCATAGCGAGAGATTCTGTGAGCAGACATGTAACAGCTATTTATATGTAAATAACAAGGCTAATATACAGGGCTTTGTCCCCCTCCCCTCCAAGAATACAACATGTAACCTTTGTGTATGTTCTCTTTTTTTTCTAGTGATATGCGGTTTCCGTGCATCTGTGCCACAGGGCTTAGTCCTGGAACTAGGAGAAACTGTCCAGATCCTGGAAAAATGTGAAGGTTAGTGCACTGAATCATAGCATGGGCGGGAGTGCCCAAAGATGAATCTCATTTGCAGCAGAAATATTAAAATCTGCTACTGTAAAATATTTTAATAATTCATTTTAGAACCATGATCCATCAAATCATCAAAATACTTGGATCAAATCTAATCTGACCCAGTTTCTATAGGAAAGACTGGAGCGTTATTGGCAGTAATCCAGTCTCATAGCGGGGGGTCAATGTGTGTGTTAACCATCTGTCCAGAAAAACATTTGAACCCTAAATTTGGGCATTGTATTGTAACTGTCTAGCCATGAATTTTCATCATGTTGATTTTTACAACAAATGTCTAATCACATTTGTAGGCTTTTAATCCCCATGCAGTTAAATTGAGCTTACCAATATTGTTTGTTTTCTGTAAATGTTGAAACTCTTATTAATGCAATCATGATTAGATTGAGAGAGATTACTTGGTTGAAAAATAATTTATATAGGATGGTGTTTTCCATTTACCTGTCTTTATATTCTTTCCATACTTTAAAGTACATTTTCAGTATGTTGGAACAATAATTGCTGTTACCTCTCACTAATTGTGTGTGTGTGTGTGTGTGTGTGTGTGTGTGTGTGTGTGTGTGTGTGAAGTTTAACTGAGACCTAACGCTGCCAGCCAAAACTATAATAGAAGCAGGATTTGCACCCTACTGTACAGAATAAGCTGATACTTATTCTGTGTATTGTATTTGTAATACCATTCAGGAGTACTATTTACAATATAAAACGAGAGCACATGTTTCACTAAAGCTCCTAAAATGGAATTATGGATCTGTAATCCAAAATGTCTAGAAAATATTAATCCAGAGTTCCAGTTTCATTGCGTTAGATCTGAATTGCAGATCCATATTTTGTAAAATCTTTGGTTTCGTTTCTGTGCTTGCTATTATTACTGTTTTTGTTCCTCTGTTCTGAGCATTATTATTGTTACAAAAACCTGCTTCTGCATTCTGCTACTGGCCAATTGTTTTTCCTCTTGTGCACACACAAACTCACATTGGGTATGAAGAGACATGCATATCACATGCTCTAAATTCTCTCTCTTTCTGAAGCACTTCTAACTTTTAGCACTTCAGTAGCATACAGATGTACAACTGCCTCAGGTATAGAACCGCTGTGAAGTATTTCTGCTTTAAATGACCTTGGATGAAACAGGATTTTAAAACACTTTGCATGCTATGCCTGTCCATACTAGGCTCCCTGGGCACCCAGGCATGCTTGTAGTCAGCTCCTTACAGGTTTGGCAGTCGGGGAGCTCCCTGCAGCTGGTTACATGCACACCAGAGCATGGGGAGTTGGATTGGGAAGCTCCCCAGTTCTCAGCCCACAGCATGAGGCATTGTAGATCAGGGAGCTCCCAGATTCTGTGGCCCATTGGCTGTACATGTGCTGGGGAGTTTGCTGCTGTGGATTGAGGAAATCTCTGATCCTTGGCTTGCTGGCTGTGTGCAGGTCAGAGCACAGGAAGCTGTTGACTGGGGAGCCTCCCATTCCCCAGATTCCTGCACCATGGATCTATCATTCCGGCAATGAGGAATGACTCATTGACCGGAGTGACTGGACAGGGACAAACCTGTGCACGTCTGTGTGCCAAGTGTGTGCATCTCCTCGTACCTCAATTTGTGTTACCCGTCAGAGGATCTTGTGGCAGCCCAGTTGAGAATCAGTACCCTAACCTAACACTCCATTAACTTTCTGTTGAATGGAGCCTTGTAATTCAAAGCTATGATGTGATCACTACAGGGGCAGTATTCCATCTGAGGGCTTGGATATTATCTGGCTAAGCATTACTGACACAAACTGTTTCTGATAGATTAAAAAAAAATTCCTCATCTGAGTCAGAAGACCACTTATAAAGAAGAGCTCCTTCTGTTTCTATTTGAAGTACTCCAACATAGTCTTGACCCAGGACACGCACACGCAGACAAATTATCAGAAGATAAATAAGGGTAGGGATTTGCAGTGCATCTGCTGCTCTGGTAGTACTTTTAATTGAAGAAAAAACCCAGATGTTTCAGGGCTAGGTGTTCCTTTGTTTGTCTTGGATCCTAAAAGTTATGGAATTAGCATGTGTACAAATTGCCCTTCCAGTTAGGGTTCGGTGAGTGGCTGCATGTGTAATCTTCCTTGTACTGTAGAAGGGAACTTTTCAGTGCACCCAACTTGCTCAAGAGAGTTTCACTGATATTTTCATGCTTAGTTAATGCTTCGTTGGTTAATATGATGGTGGCTGGTTGCCATTTTGGGGGTACCACTGAGGTCAAGGGGAGAGGGAATTAAAAAACAAACGCACAAAAACAACATCAACAAAACTAGTGTGATAATCAGGCTGGAGCATGTGTGAGTTTGGTTCAGAGAGCAGCGTTCTGAGAGGACAGGGACAGGGTTAAGGAGACTGTAAATGGACTGTCTTACTGAAAACAATGACTGATCAGGGCTAGGTGAGCTCTGGTACCTCCTGGTGGAGAGAGAGAGGCATGCATTTTGCTCTTAGTGCTGGCTGGGAGGAAGAAGTAACACAACCACATTAAATCCATCCAAAATCTCTGGAAGAGGTGGATTTAATCTTCAGGGAACTGGACTCTCCTAATATGAGGAGTATCTGGAATGGTGAAGCTAGTTAGCAGCTTATTCTCTACCAAGGAGGGATATACAGGCAGTCCTCAGACTTACGACACAATTAGTTCCTGAGAACTGCATCCTGCAACATTTCAGCTTAACTCGGAACCAATTTTCCCATAGGAAACAATGTTATAAATGGGGGATTGGTTCCTGAACCAAGGTCTGATACCCATTTTCACCCAAAATAACCCAGAATTTTGTACACAAGTACTCAATCGATTATATAAAATAAATAAATGTAGCTATATTACTTGTCTATATGTATTTATATTGTAAATAGCAATCATTTATTTGGAAGGACTTCTTTGAGGTGACTTTGCTGGACTTTTTGAAGGGTTCTTTGCTGGAGTCTTCTCAGGAGTCTTGTCTGCTTTCTTAAAGTGTGCAAAGAAGTTTGGACAGATGTTTCTTTGGACAGATGATGCTTGTAAATTTCTCTGTAGCAACTGTACATGCTGGATATGTCCCTACTCACTGATGCACTGCATTCAGTGTTGGGGTCATGTTCTTCAAACAGGGACATGGCAGCTTTCAAATATCGAAATCCCTCAGCCAACACTTGTTGTCAAGACTTTGAGGAGGAATCTCTTCAACAGTGGGTACATCTTTTTCCTCTGCCACGTTTTGGTGTTCCAATTCAGTGAGGTCCTCACTGGTTAATTCTTCAGAATGGGATGCCAGCAACTTATCAACATCTTCTGGTGCAACGTGTAAGTTGAGTTCTTTGCCCATTTCAACAACATTTTTGCTCACCTCTTCAACAGTGTTTGTAAAGCCTTGGAAGTCGGACACAACCTTAGGACACAATTTTCTCCAAACACCATACAAATGTGATTGTTTGACTTAATTCCATGCCTCACCAGTGTTCTTAACTGCATGGTAAATGTTGAAGCCCTTCCAGAATTCCTTTGGAGTTGGTCCACCTTCCTTCTTAAATGCCCTGATGGCCTAGGTAAAAGTGCACCTAAAATAGTAGGCCTTGAAGGACGCAATTACCCCCTGCTCCATAGGTTGCAACAATGAGATGGTGTTGCATGGGGTAGAAACACTACTTTGATGTCAGGATGCATGTCATCAAGGATGGTTGGATGACCAGGAGCATTGTTGAGGATTAACAACACTTTAAACGCAAGATTTGTTTTTGCTGCAAGAATCCCTGACAGCACAAAATTATGATTAAACCAATCATCAAAAATGTTCTTATTGACCCATGCCTTAGGATTGGATTTCCATATCACTGGGAGAAATGCCTTGGAAAGTCCCTTGAAAGCTCTGGGGTTTTCTGAATAGTACAAAAGTAAATGTCTAAGTTTAAAGTCACCTGTAGCATTGTCACTAAGCAAAAGAGTGAGCCTATCTTTAGCAGCTTTGTACTCTGGCGTGGATTTCTCCTCTTTGGCAATGTAGGTTCTCGATGGCATTTTTTTTCCAAGAGAGTCCAGTTTTGTCAACATTAAAAACTTGCTGAGCACAATAGCCATTCTCTTCAATGATTTCAACCAATGCCTCAGGAAAAGCATGAGCTGCTTCTTCATCAGCACTGGCAGCTTCACCTGAGACCTTGACATCCCAACATGCCTCACGGTGTTCAATTGTCTGTTGGTTCCAGGGGCTTCCCCTATACCATTGGTCATCAACCGGTTGATCCCTCCCACAGGGGCCCTGGCTTTAAAATGCATAAACCACCCCATACTTGCAGTAAAAGGCTCAGCATTAGAACTCTCCCCATGTTGTTTCTTTAGATCATCATAAAGACTTCTACCCTTTTCCTGAATGATGCCTAAACTCACAGGAGCACGCCCTTTATTTTGATCCTCCAGCCAAATGATTAACAGTTTCTCAACCTGAGCAATAGGTCCAACACACTGCTTAGTTATCACAGTTGAGTGCATAGGAGATGAGTCCTTAACATGCTCCTGAATTCTTGCCTCGTCTTTCAGGATTGTCATGATAGTCATTTGGGAGATATCCAAAGCTCTTCCCATTTCAGTTGGGGTCTCACCTTTTTCAGACCTCTTAATTTCCATTTTTGTTTCCATAGTAATTATTCTGCATTTCTTAGAAGAAGAAACATCACTTCCACTGAATTTATGCTTTTCTGCCATTATTATGGGCAGTTTGGAAACAGAACAGTGCATGTGCAGCACAGTGAACTTGTTGTAAAGTTCACTTATTCTTTATTCAGTACAGGTACAGTACCATAGTGCTGCAGTGGTAGAAGCAGCAGAGATGACTGAGCAACAGAGGAGCTCTGGCCATGTGTCCAGAAAGGCGTGGCTAGGGGGTGTATGTCCCCAGATCTTCTACAACCAGACCAGATCTGGGGGTCACACGTCCCTCCCCCA